GCAACACTTCTCGTGGTCACTTAACTGTACCAAGACAGAACAAACTCATTTTTCACAATATAATATGACCATCCTTCGTCCTTAATTTCAATCAAATTCGAATTAATATTTTGCGTATCGTTGTCTTTTGCAAGCGTCAGTATAATAGACTCGAAAACACTCTTGATAGTTCATTCCTTAAGAAGTTTTTTGTCTGCCCTCCCGACAGCTGAGTTTGCCCCCTCGGAGTGAAAAACCTAGATAAAACACTGGCAATGGCTATGGCTGATCATATTAATCGTGTATGAAATTCGCATACTTTTTTCGTAGTAAAATGTTTTTGATAATTTTACTATGTTTAAAGCAATCATATAGTTTGACCAAAAACTTAAAAAAAACAATAAATAAAAGCGTCGGACCGGGTCAGGTGACCCGTTCCAAGACTTCATACATCACACGAGAGACCCAGGGATTGGTTTTATCATTGTACACTAATGAATAAGGCACATGTATTATTAAAAATGTAATCGTAATTAAACTACTAATCTTAAAAGGGTAAAAATAATGAAGGCTGAACACTAAAATCAAATTCAATAGATAAATCATTTAGTTTGGTTCAATTTCGAATTGAAATTTTGAGAAAAAATGGGGCTAAAGTAAATCGAGTTTGAAATTAATCCAATGAATTCAAAAAGAAAACTTTCTATTTCTTTGGATTGAATAATAGGCCTAGGACAGCTCTCAATTCTATAAGCTGTGTTTTCCAAGAATTGGGATAGTGACCAGTTCTCTTTTCGAGATCTAGGTAAAATGACCAGTTCCTTTTCGAGAACTGGGCGAAGTGACCAATAGAGGAGAGAAGTTATTGTTACCAGCCAGTCACGTTACTAGGTAACTAGTAACGGATATCTACAAAAATAAAACGTGAACTGTACATCACATTATTGACCAATTGCACTCGAGGAAGCTGTTTCTCACCTATTGTGAGGACAAAACATATTGATGTTCGGGTGAAATGAAAGGGGACCCCGGATAATCCAATGATTGCTCCGAAAAAACATTATGCTTTGTCTATACAATAGCTGAAAAATAGCTTTCTCGGATCTGACTGACTGATGGAAAAAGCTCTCGGCCAATTAGATTCCACAGCGTTTTTTTCCGCCTACTGTAAGGGCAAAGCATATTGATGTTCGAGCCCATCATGCGGTTATCCGAGGTCCTCTTTCATTTGACATGAACATCAATATATTTTGTCCTCACAACAGCTTCCTCAAGTGTGATTAGTTAATAAGGTGATGTACAGCCCATCCTCATTTTTACAGGTTTTCATTACCAGTTACTTGGTAACGGAACAGTAACTGGCCTACCCTTAGTTTGCTATCAAAGAACTGTTGAGACAGTTCTCAAGATCGGAACTGATATGGAACTATCCTAGGCCTATTGAATAACATTCATAATAAACTGCCAATAATTTAGTTTGAATTTTCTTTATTATATTTCTATGACTGCACATCACACACTATTGTATTAAATCAATATATATGTAAATAATATTTCACAAATAGTATATTCAATAGGCTATGTATTATTGATATACATTCATTCTAGAGATAACGACAAGTTTTCAAATTTGGAGAATACATTTCAATTTAAGCAAAATTTTCATTTGACTGTTGATTAGCTCTTTTATAATGCAATATATCTGATGAAATAGAAGATGAAAAGGAAAACAAACAAAGAAAGAAGAGGAAAATTCATTCATTCGTTCCTGTTTTCATGATAACGGTCATATTTAGCATATATATTGTCATTTATTGGTGTCGACAATGAACATAAAGAAATAATAATAAAAAAAGAAAAATTCGTCCATCACTGAGTATATAAAGGAGACTACGGCTGTGAAAGAATTCGTGATAGCCTTTTTTTTAATGAAAATATAAATGTCATTGGTAACAGGTTTCGACGATCTAACCGATTTAGTATTGATCGAGTTGTTCTCTTATTTATCATCGACGGATATTCTTTGGGCATTTACTAATCTTAATCATCAGTTAACAATGTTAATAACTGAACGAAACTTTTTTTCTAATATTAATTTATCAAATTCACGTTATGATCAATTTAATAGAATAATTCGTTATCTTCCATTGGATAATATTCTATTACTTTCAATTGATAGTGATGCATCTCCACTTCAGTTAACTCTTTGGCCTTATTTGCCTCGTTTGAGAACTTTACGTATTTTTGGTGCATACAATTATGATCATCTTTTATTGTTTCTTTTGCTTCATGCAGCTACGCTAAATAATCTTATTATAAAACCAAACGAAAGATTAATTCCAGTAAGTATATGAATACATATTTTTAACATGTACAAAACTTTAAAGAGAAAAACAAATATGAAATTATCTAAGCAATAATTGAGAACCTTTGAGTAATTGTTCGATTTCTCGATTTGTTTGCAATTTTTTCATTTGAAATAAGAAAAAATAAATTTTAACAGTAATTTGTTTACTATTAATAGATTGTCTAGAAAATAAATCTTTTCATTAAGAAAAAAAAGATTAGAATTCAAATGAAAGTAAAATAGAATATGTTTGAAGTTTCATAAAAAATAAATTAATTCTTATTTTAAATACAGAAGAACAGAAAAACGACAGTTTACTTTAAAAAGGAAATTTCTGTAAGAATTAAATAGAGTTTAAATTCTTAAAACTTATCACCGTCAATTTCATACACAAGAAAAAATTATTTAGTTTGATACTTTTAGAAATTATATTTCTAAGCGATCATCTTCTAAGGAATATTTTGGCAGATATATAATTAGATATTGACTTACGATTAATTTTTATGTGATTGAAATAAGAGCATGACATTTCCTGACTTAATATCAGTTCGTAAAACTTACTTTTTTACTTGTTCGAGTTAGATAATGGTGAATTATTCAAAGTAAAGTATGATCCTCATTGAACAATGTTTATGAAGAGAATAATTTTGAGCGGTTTCGAAATTGAATATCAACCTCTAATTTGTTTTCTTTTATCTGTAGCATAAATCTGACCTAAAATTCATATTCAATGTTACATTTTACGTCATATATGTTGTTTGAGAAATACTTAGAGTCATTCATAAATCTATCCTAGTCATCATTTTAGCATCGGGAATATTTTGACCAAGATCTTGTTTACAGAGGTTCCACTATCAATACTATTGACACATACATATATATATATCTCAGTGATATGATTAAGAATAATTTTTGAATTATAAATACTATAACAGAAATACTAATTGATCATCTTTCATCAAACATAAAATGAATTTTTTTTGTTTGACATGAAAGGGCCTTTCAAAAATGATCATATGAAATTAGAAAAGAGTGGTATTATCATATGATAAAGGAATTTCGACTTAAGCAATTTTCAGATCGTACGGAAACTGAAACGACTTTTTCGCTAAGATTAAAAGTTCACTATGAATTTCGATATGAACTGGAATTTTTCTCTCTGAGTAATTCTGTAAAAATTCAAAATATTATTAAATTTTGATAAAATCTATAATACTTAGTCGCATGTATTTCCATTTAAATGTGGTACTAAACAGCGATGAGCACAAGACGACTTTTTCCTTTCTATTATGCCGTGTCCTGCTGGATCCTCCCATCCTGGTGGGTTGCATGACAGAACGAAAATTTTATTTATCTCCTGTCCTATGTCATCTATGACACCGAACAGAATGGCATGATCATCAGTACGAAGTATTAGGTTATCTTGCTGAACCGAATCTTAGAATTGTATTTTATAGCGTAACATTGTATTTAAAAAGCAAAGTAGATAGAAACATTATCATAATGAAAAGTTGTTCTAAATGATGCTCTATCGATCTATATAGTTTTCAGAAAAATATATACAGTTTCCAGATTCAGTTTTATCGAAAGATCCTAAAAAAACTACATATTTAAAGACTTGTACAGTTAGTGCCAACCTTGAATCTTTATCTCATATCAACTTCAAAGCAAAATGAATATCATATACAGAATCAGTATGAAAACCTACTATAAATAATATCCATTTCAGTACAAGTAATTTTTTACAGTAAAGTCCCACTGGGAGAAGCACTGGCTAAACTTGAGAAGAAAATTGTTGGCGAGGAACTATCGAATTTTTTTGTGAAAAATTATTTGTCCTGAAATGTATATTATATATATAGTAGATTTTCGTGCTGATTCTGAATATAATACTCGTTCTGGTTTGAAGTTGAAACGAGAGAAAAGTTCAATGTTGCCATTGACCGTAGAAGTTTTTTTATGTTAATTTTTTTCGAACGTTTCGATGGAAACGATCCTTGGAACTGTATATATTTTCCTGAAAACTATATAGATCGATAGATCATCAGTTAGAACAACTTTTGATCATGAAAATGTTTCTATCTAATTTGCTTTTTAAGTACAATATCACGCTGCGGAATTCACCCATGTAATATGAGAATGTGTATCTCTCGTAGATGTTTACCCAGCATGATCAAACAGAGAATCTATCATCAAATACGATCAATATGTCATTTTATAGAACACAAAAATCTGCTTTGTTCTACACTATTACTATTCGTATTAGACTGATACAAGAAAAATTTATGCTTATTACAGTTATTTTCTGGAATATCCAAAAATGATATATCTGTCACCGCCGCCGCCATCCCATTGATTTATATTTGAAGCCCATTGAAAGTGACACAGCGGGGATGGCAGATTTGCGATCTTATCCGCCGGAGTCCTTTAGACCGAACTAAAATTTCGACTTTCAAATAGATCAGCATGTATTTTCATATTTAAGAAAGATTTCGTTATGAACTTTGCAGCAGTGAAAGATAGTTTTATTCATATAAGAAGTGAGTTAAAAAAAGTTTTATGATTTATTTCGAGTTTCAAAAGACATGAAATTAAATATTTTTAAAGAGTTTTTCTGAATATATAATTGAATTTGACCATAATTTTTCTAATGAAAATAGTGTTACTTTGGATGATATCATGGAAAAAGCGAGTTGCTGTAAATCTCGATTGATAATTCAACGATATATTTCTATTGTTGTTTTTTAGGATGGTTCTACGCTAAAATTCGATTATCCAAGAGGGACAATGTTGACATTAATAAATAATTTTCTTTTTATTCATTTACCTTCGCTTCGATCTCTCGACTTGGGCATGGATTATTACATAACACGTTGGCCTATGACTGGTCGAATAGTTCCTTTAAATTATCTTCGTCTTTCTCTGCCAAATATAAATGTTTTAATTCGTCTTATGTCAACCTCACCACTTAACGAAACATTACGTGAATTACACATTAAAATAGGTAATAGTCTTTTCAATGGTCGTTCTCGTGTACCAATACCCGATCTATCGGTTAAAATGATTAATTTACGTAGATTTACTCTTGTTCAAACATTTTTCTCAATGTTAACTATTGAATGGAAAATATTCGATATGTTGACATCGTCGAAAATAATGCCTGTTCTTCGGCATGCCAATGTGTCGATTTTTATTAATATAAATGATTTAAATTCTATATCTTCATCATCAATTTTTAATGATTATCGTCATGTTGATGTTAATTTCGCTTTCCATCTTATTAATTGTCATGATTATATTAAAGTTAGTCAATATATACCAAATGGTAATTATTATCATACACGTGAAACAATCGGTGCAACATTTATTGTTAATGGTTGGTCTCAAAGATCACAATGGATCACTGATGAAGATCCTTTTGTAAGTATATTCTATTTATATTAGAATAAGACATGAAGAAAAATGAATATTTGTTTATAGCTAGATAATCTAATATAAATATGATTCAATATTAATATACTGTTTGTAAAAATAGATTCGTGGACGTGAATACAAGCATCATATGTGGTATACTCTTCCATGGTCATTTGACGAATTATTTCATGAATATGTTCCATACAGATGGATTACCAAGGCACAAGTTTTTAAAATATCTTCAAATCTACTAACTGTTCACCAATCATCTCTTCGTACATTAGATGCATCAGGTCAAACATTATCATCATCTATATGCATATTACCTCAAGTGGTATTATATGATTCGATTGAAACATTGCACTTATCCTATTCAAATAGATATTTTTCTATAGATTTATCTAATCTTCGTAATATAACTCTTGTTAATAGTATTAATTGTCTTAATGGTTTGTTATTTTCCGGAACAATTCATTCTATTCGTATTCTTCAGTTTTTAACTTATCCTAATTATAAGTCACTAAATTGGCCAACGATTTATCATTCACTTTCAACTTTACGACAATTGAGTTCATTACGTATATTTATGTATGATTTGCTAACAGATATCGATGATAAAAATTGTGAAATAATCGCAAAGATGGCATCATTGGTTATTGACTTTGGCTTTTGTTTTCGATATAAATTCAGCTCAACAGATGCTGATGTATTGACACCAACATTCAAAATTCAAGCTAAATCTATCAAACAAATATGTCATTATATGCTATTGTCTGTTGACAATCACCCTTATTATTCAGTTGAAGATGATGGATGTGGAATCTTTATCTGGTTTTAAACAACTAATGAAATTATTTACTAAAAGACATTTTCAATTATGATAGATCCAGTTAAATAATTTTTTGTAAATATATAATCAATTATTTTTGTTCTTCATAATAAAATTGATTGTCAACTGACGTCATTAAAAGTGGAAAAGTTCTTTGTTCTCATTGTGATGGTAGGTAATTGTGGAAAAATCTGATCTCAACCAAGTCTTTTTTCAATTAGTTGATTTTCGTGTTGTCTGTATCATATCATATTCAGACAGATGAATATTAAGTCTTTTTTTTATATTCACATCGCATTTTTCTATGAATAATTGATGAAGTCCTTTTTTTCTCAAAGCAGAGTATCTACCGAATATAATAAGTTTTGCAAAGAAAATATGCAGAAGAACTTTACAATTCTCTGAGATTATATAGCATATAAACCATTCCACAAAAGCTACAACTGACTCTCACAGACGTAAGTAAAGTTAGCAGCAGATTCGAGTTTTTTCGGGAAATATTCGTGACCATACTTGTGCCAAAAAAGATCGTTGTTGTGCCAGATAGAGCATCGAATATGCTGTGGAATGGAATGCTTTCAACGGATTTCCATCGCCAGGAACGGCTGAAAAATTCAAAATACTCCTTCGAAAACACTGATTTTAATGCAAAAATCAGTATTTCGACCAAATACTCGTTTCAAGGCTTGCGCCACTTGAGAAAACAGTTGTACCCGATACAACTTGAAAAGATCTATCGAATGAGGCCAAATTCACCTAGGTTCATCATATATTTCGAGCTCTGTTCGACCGACAGTTGGTCCTAGAGGGGTTGGGATCCCTATTCTGACCCAACATTCATTTTGGAAGTTGTGCCACTCGGGAAAACGGTTGTGCCCGATTGAACTTGAGAAGATCTATCGAATGACACTAAAGTCACCTCGGTTCATCACATTGCTCGAGCTCTGTCAGGCCGACAGAGGGTTCTAGAGGGGTTTGGGTCCCTATTTTGACCAAATATTCATTTTGAAAGTTGTGTCATTTGAAAAAATGCTTGTGGCAGATAGAAAGTGAGAAGATCTATCGAATGATAGTAAATTGACGTAAGTTCATCGTATAGATTGCGATCGAGCAGGGAGAAAGCTGGTTATAGATGTGTTTTGGGTTCATATTTTGACCAAACTGACATTTTGGGTGTTGTCGTAGTTGGGAAAATACTTGTGCCAGATGGAAGTCGGCGAGATCTATCGATTGGCGCTAAATGGACCCGTATTCATTACCACGGTTGGAATCTGGCAGGATGAAAGCTTGGTTAGAGGGGTGTGGGGTGACTATTTTTATCTAATATTTAGTTTGAACTTTGTGCCAGCTGAGAAAAGACTTGTCGCAGATAGAACGCATCAGGATGTACGGAATAGTGCTAAATCGGCTTATATTGATCTGGATGGTTGGGATTGAGCGGGAGACAGGTGATTATAGAGGGGTTTTTGATCTCTATTATGAGCAAAGGTCCATCACGAAAGGTATGGCAGTTCCGAAAAGAGTTCTGTCAAATAGAAGTGAATACCATATAGAGACTTGTAGCAGATTGATCGTGCTCGATGGTTGAGGTGGATCTGAAGGGGAGGGGGGGTGAAGCAACTACAAGCTGCAATCCTAGGTGCCACAGTAGGTTTGGCACTTGATGAAGCTTCACCAAATATATTTTATTAAATGATGGACGAGAAGAAAGATGATACTTGACGAGAGAAGAAAAG